AAGGACAAACTTGCACCTTCCTGGGAAGGTAAAAGCTCTCCATGCTGGGGACTTATTGTTGGCTATCCGTAATTCCACCTTTGGCACCCGCCTGGACCAACTGGCCCTAAGTATTAGTGTTGTCCTGCGCCTTGCCGCCCCTTGTGTATTTACTATTTGTATTTACTATTTGTATCTGCAGAATCGAGCTCTTGGACCCCGCCTTTCTAACCAATTTATTTTTCTCTATTATGTCTACTAAATATATTTCTCTTACACACACACACACACACACACACACATACATCCCCAGGAAGCAGCCCGTAGCAGCTGTCTAACTTTTAGGTACCTTGCTAGGTACCTGTACCCAGGTTTTTGCTAGATGAACACCAGGGTGAAAGAAACTACCCATTTGTTTCTGCCTCTGCCGGAGATCGAACCCTTAGGACTATGATCGTAGAGCGCTGTCCACTCAGCCGCTAGGACCCTGCGGGGCATCCCTGGGGAGCCACACACGATGAACTAATCAATTTCAGAAACTAGCTCACCGCATACGTACTTGAAGTTGCTTACCTTAGAGACTGATCTTGTGGCTGTGTAACTATAACTTATCAAGACTAACTTCTTTAGCTAAATTAATTTTGGGGTTCGGTTCCTGAGCCCTGTAACCATTTCCACTACCGCTCACTGTACGGGTATGCGGCTACATAATAAATGAACTAAACTAGAAGCAAATATAATTGAATTTGTAGGGTATGTGCAGGTTAAGAAATGTCGCCACTGTTAATTATGCTTTAAATTTGAGCGTTGTTTATGTCTAGATCTATTATTTCAAAATGATATGTACGTCTTGTCATTGTCCTGACATTGTTCATTGTCAGGAACTGTTACGAGTCTGTATTTACAGAATAATCCGGTAGGGTTATGAGATGACGAGGTTTGCTGGGAGGGTTTGCTGTTGGAAAGATATTTATTTATTTATTTATATATATACAAGAAGGTACACTGGGATTGTGAAGATACATAGCATAGTAATTACAGTCTTGTAAAGCCACTAGTACAATGGAAGATGGAAGTGGGTTCATTAGCAAGGTGTACTGGCTCGAGGCATTCCAAACTGGGAACTAGCAGACTGTGCACAGTCTGCTAGTTCCTGAGCGCAGGAGCCATAGATGTAACGCTACAGAAAAGATAAATGACTTAGCGTACAAAATAATATTATATTTTGAAAAGTAAAATATATCCTTCGAACCGGATTCGAACCAGTGACCTATGGATGTCTGCTTAAGTACCAACTACAGTCCACCGCTCTACCAACTGAGCTATCGAAGGAGTTGAGAACAAAACATTTGCCACTGCAAAAACGTTTGTTATAATGAACACCACTGTTCTGAATGTTATTAATATCCATAACAGTATGGAATCAGCGCGAAGTATTTTGACTGATTTATTGATATATATACAAAAGAAGGTACACTGGGTTTATGAGAGTAAATAGCTGACAGCTTTGATGTTTTTACGTTCTTACAAAGTCACTAACACGCATAGTGTGTCGGCCAGTTTAGTTAGTTTATAGTTCATTTAATTTATTATGCACCCCATACCCATCTTGTGGGCGGTAGTGGAGAGGGTTACAGAGGCACATAATGGGCTCAGGGACTGAACCCTACAGGTCATTTAGCTGCGTTTCGGGCAGGTCCTTAATCTAACAGATAATTTTTAGTAGGTAATTTTGTAGCAAAATTTGAACAATGTTAATAGCTACATTGTAAGAACTTGAAAAATATTTATAGGTACATTGTAGTAAAATTTGAGGATTATAACACGTATATAGTAGCATAATTTGAGGGTTATAAATAGGTACATTGTAGCAAAATTTGCGTTCAACATGATAATTGTGATATAAGATGATAGCAGTGATTACAATGGTGAAGTTGTATGGCTTAGGTACATATATATTGGGGTATCACAAGATACAATGTGAATTTGTACCACAACCTAGGAAACTATGAGGATGAAATTAGATACTTTTTGGTTTTACTTTTGAAAAAAAGCATAGGTTAGACAGTTTTTTAATCCGTTAAGGAGTGAGTTCCAAAGACTAGGTCCCTTTATTTGTATAAGGTGTTTGCATAGATTTAGTTTGACTCTGGGGATATCAAAGAGAAATGTATTTCTGGTGTGGTGATTATGGGTTCTACGACATCTGTCAAGGAAGAGTTTCAGATCAGGATTTGTATTTAGGAACAAGGTTTTGGACATGAAATAATACAAAAGAAAGTGTAGAGTGAGTGTATGTTTATAGCATGTTTAGGGATTTAAACAGAGGGGCTGTGTGTTGTCTGAAAACAGCGTTTGTTATTATTCTGATAGCAGATTTTTGCTTGGTGATGATAGACTTATGGTAGTTTGCAGTGGTTGAACCTCATACACAGATACCATCTTCTTCTTCTTGAGATGATTTGATTGATTTCATGTGTAACCATGTGTTAAATAGGGACAGATTAGCGCGTAGAGGAGAGTAGAGTAGTTCTGCCTGAAACGCTTTGCGTAATAGTGGCTTTAGGCATTGTATGTACTAGCTCTATCTATAAATCCATCAACTTTTGTATCTTACCTTGTATGTATGTACTTTACCTGAATAAAAAAATGTATTTGTAGAGTGGGGAACATAATATCTGATTTTAGAAAGTATGATTGAATGAATGAATGAATGAATGAATGCTCATCTTGAAACACAGTAATGTATTTACTAGTTATTAAAACTCATTGCACTGCCAAACAACAAGAACCATATATAGAGCACCACACAATGACTTTGTCATCACGTCACTCCTAGATGGTCCTACTGTTCGAATTACACTTGGTTTCTCTGGGAGTTTAGATTTCTGAGTATGGGGTGCATAATAAAATAAACGAACACCTATAAGATGATGGGAATTGGGGTCAATATTAAACTAATTATTCTAATATATTATATATTAGAATATTATTACTGAATTCAAATATACTGTATATTATAATATACATATTAATATATTAATATTCTGATATATTTTTGCTAAAGAACAATTGAACATGTACACAATTTGTAAAATATGCTACATTTTCATGGAATTTAGTTATATGAACTTAGTGCTAAAGATGCCACACGTAAAACTACTTCCCATGCCGGGAATCGAACCCGGGCCTCCTGGGTGAAAGCCAGGTATCCTAGCCACTAGACCACATGGGAGATTGAGAGGAAGGGATACCATCATATTTTTAAAACATTTTTCTTCGGGATGAGGGGGAAACATTTCTATCTTAAGTGTTAATTCAATGAGGAGTTTTCACATTTTCTGCATTTTGGAAAATTAAGGAGTAGCCGTTACCATTGCAAATTTACCCAAAAAAAATAATAACACGATCTTTAAATTCAACCGTGAGTACTCAAAGTGTTTCACGATGATGTAACACAAGTCAAGAAGAACAACTACGGGCTGGCAACACACTAGTTGAATAGTTTAAAAAACAAAAAGGTATCCTTCGAACCGGATTCGAACCAGTGACCTATGGATGTCTGCCTCAGTACCAACTACAGTCCACCGCTCTACCAACTGAGCTATCGAAGGAACTGGAGACAACTGCTCTGCTTGAGGTTAAAGCCTACACCAAATCCCAAAGAAATTGTCATACATACATTTTAATTATATATTTAACAAGAAAACTACTATTCGTACTATTAATACAAAAGTAAAGTGTTGCAGGATTGCTTCACATGGCTTTAAACACAATTCAAAGCTATGTACATGTTTTAGCTTAAAAACTATTTTTTATAACCTTTATGCCCGTTTCCCTCACAAGTTTAATCAAATAAATAACACCGAATCAATACCACATTATCTAAGAAAATGAATTATCTGTTAGATTAAGGACCTGCCCGAAACGCTGCGCGTACTAGTGGCTTTACAAGATTGTAAATACTATGCTATGTATTCTCTCTAACCCAATGTACCTTCTTGTATATAAATAAATAAATAAATAAATCTACACATATTTTAAAAGTCACTTGTTTTAAGGATTAACACACTAATCGTTGACAACATATTTCCCTACAGAACCAAGAATAGAGAGAGAGAGAGAGAGAGAGAGAGAGAGAGAGAGAGAGAGAGAGAGAGAGAGAGAGAGAGAGAGAGAGAGAGAGAGAGAGAGAGAGAGAGAGAGATGAAGGAGTGTACGTGTTCCATATAGCGTGTTCAACACTCTAGTATAGGAATGAGTCTTACATACGCTTCCCCTTCGTTTTCTGTGGTGTGGTATTGCCGCTGCTCGGTCTGACGGCGTCCCCAGGGTAGGGATGACATTAATCTTACGATACTGGTCTGGTTTACGGGTTATTCATGCCCGTGCCATCTCTTGGGTGGCTTAATCGTCATCAATCAATCAACTGGTGTGGTGTACAGTAATACACACACGTGGGGGTAGGTCTTTTTGCTTTCGCTAGTACAGCGGGTTAGCTGATACGCAATACTATATAAATAGCCCTCTAAAGACTCACGTACATCTCTATTCTTTTATTCTATGAGCAGATTGGTTTAGTTAATGTATTATGCACCCTAATCTCGGCCTGCAGATGGTAGTGGACCCCATACCCATCCTGTAGATTGTAATGGACCTTAAGTTATACCTACCATATTGGCGGTAGTGGACCCCATACCTATCCTGAAGGCAGTGGCGGTAGTGGACCCCATACACCATACCCCATCCAACTTGTAGGCGGTAGTTGACCCCATGATCACCCTATTGAGGGTAGTGGATCCCATACCCATATCAACTTCATATTGTGTGACTGTATATGGCAGCTAGAATTGCACTTAAAGGCTAATAAAATAACTATCCAAGCTATCAACAGGGTACAACAAGACGTAAGTAATAATTCCCTAAAAGTCCATTACAAAAATAAGGGAAGAGGGGGGCGCATGAAGGTTCTTGACGAGGCCATTAAGGGTTAAGGTGAGGACTCGGGGGTTAGTACTGACCTTGCAGCTTGGCCTCGAGCTGGGCGTGCTGGAGGTTGTGTGGAAGACGGTAATGTCGAGGGTTGTGCTGCACCCGTACGTACAGGAAGGTGGAGCGCAGCCACTCTACAGCCACGCCAAGGTCCGTCACTGTCCCCAGCACGATCTGTTAACACCAAAGACGAAAGCATGCGTTTAGGACACAATATGGAGTAAAATATTAAGAGCTTTGTCTAGTGGCTACACATAACCCCCAGGCCTAAGACCGAAGGTAAATATAATCAGAACATCGGCGACGTTTCAAAGCTGGCAAGTATTCGTGTACCCTTCAAGCACTGTGTACCTATCTCCAGTCTTCAGCGAAGCGCTACACATCAAAAAGTCAAGACCAGCTCTCAACAACCAATTAACACATAATTACATCCTACCCACTACAAGACCTCGAGCCAATGCAGAGACAGGATCTAACGACCCTGCCTTAGAAACCCAAGAAACACACAAACATAAGCTGCTTGTGTTGATGCAGCTGTTGTTTAAGATTCGCTGCTTAGAACAAAAAGTTCCAAGTAGCACGGGCTACGGTGTGTTGATGCATGTAATACCCTATTAATATCCCCAATGTTATGCCACTCATCCACTTGTTCTGTACCACCTCATCTAAAGATAGTATAAGCCTGTACAACTTGGTAAATAAGTCTTTGAGAATATATATATATATATATATATATATATATATATATATATATATATATATATATATATATATATATATATATATATATATATTATTATTAAATATGACCGAAAAAGTAAGATTAATAATTCTAACACGAATTTTCTCAATCTTTCGTACATTACGCTTCACTGTTGGAGGTAAATCAAAAATCACTTCTCCAAAATTCATTTTTATTTCTAGTCTGACGCGACACGGGCGCGTTTCGTAAAACTTATTACATTTTCAAAGACTTCACAAATACACAACTGATTAGAACTTGCGTTTCCCTGATTTTATATCTACATTTGAGTGAGGTGGGAAGGGTGATGTGGCATTAACACAAGACAGAACACTAGGGGATATTAATAGGGTATTAAAAGTATCAACACAAGACAGAACAGAAACAATGGGTATTGAATAGAAGTGTTTGTAGAAAGCCTATTGGTCCATATTTCTTGATGCTTCTATATTGGAGCGGAGTCTTGAGGTGGGTAGAATATAGTTGTGCAATAATTGGCTGTTGATTGCTGGTGTTGACTTCTTGATGTGTAGTGCCTCGCAAACGTCAAGCCGCCTGCTATCGCTGTATCTATCGATGATTTCTGTGTTGTTTACTAGGATTTCTCTGGCGATGGTTTGGTTATGGGAAGAGATTATATGTTCCTTAATGGAGCCCTGTTGTTTATGCATCGTTAAACGCCTAGAAAGAGATGTTGTTGTCTTGCCTATATACTGGGTTTTTTGGAGCTTACAGTCCCCAAGTGGGCATTTGAAGGCATAGACGACGTTAGTCTCTTTTAAAGCGTTCTGTTTTGTGTCTGGAGAGTTTCTCATGAGTAGGCTGGCCGTTTTTCTGGTTTTATAGTAAATCGTCAGTTGTATCCTCTGATTTTTGTCTGTAGGGATGACGTTTCTATTAACAATATCTTTCAGGACCCTTTCCTCTGTTTTATGAGCTGTGGAAAAGAAGTTCCTGTAAAATAGTCTAATAGGGGGTATAGGTGTTGTGTTAGTTGTCTCTTCGGAGGCCGAAGAGACAACTAACACAACACCTATACCCCCTATTAGACTATTTTACAGGAACTTCTTTTCCACAGCTCATAAAACAGAGGAAAGGGTCCTGAAAGATATTGTTAATAGAAACGTCATCCCTACAGACAAAAATCAGAGGATACAACTGACGATTTACTATAAAACCAGAAAAACGGCCAGCCTACTCATGAGAAACTCTCCAGACACAAAACAGAACGCTTTAAAAGAGACTAACGTCGTCTATGCCTTCAAATGCCCACTTGGGGACTGTAAGCTCCAAAAAACCCAGTATATAGGCAAGACAACAACATCTCTTTCTAGGCGTTTAACGATGAATAAACAACAGGGCTCCATTAAGGAACATATAATCTCTTCCCATAACCAAACCATCGCCAGAGAAATCCTAGTAAACAACACAGAAATCATCGATAGATACAGCGATAGCAGGCGGCTTGACGTTTGCGAGGCACTACACATCAAGAAGTCAACACCAGCAATCAACAGCCAATTATTGCACAACTATATTCTACCCACCTCAAGACTCCGCTCCAATATAGAAGCATCAAGAAATATGGACCAATAGGCTTTCTACAAACACTTCTATTCAATACCCATTGTTTCTGTTCTGTCTTGTGTTGATACTTTTAATACCCTATTAATATCCCCTAGTGTTCTGTCTTGTGTTAATGCCACATCACCCTTCCCACCTCACTCAAATGTAGATATAAAATCAGGGAAACGCAAGTTCTAATCAGTTGTGTATTTGTGAAGTCTTTGAAAATGTAATAAGTTTTACGAAACGCGCCCGTGTCGCGTCAGACTAGAAATAAAAATGAATTTTGGAGAAGTGATTTTTGATTTACCTCCAACAGTGAAGCGTAATGTACGAAAGATTGAGAAAATTCGTGTTAGAATTATTAATCTTACTTTTTCGGTCATATTTAATAATATATGTCTACAGGAAAGACTGCTACCAAAATATACTAATATATATATATATATATATATATATATATATATATATATATATATATATATATATATTGGTGTATACTGGCAGCAGGTTTTCAATCAATAAATTGAATATGACAGTGAATAATTCATGTTCATGTATTCAAAAAACTCAAAATTCATGTACGAACATGAATTTTGGTGTGGAAGACGGTATATTGGTATATTGGTATATATATATATATATATATATATATATATATATATATATATATATATATATATATATATATATATATATATATATATATATATATATATATATATATATATATATATATATATATATATATATATATATATATATATATATATATATATATATATATATATATATATATATATATATATATATATATATATATATCATAATTATACATCCACGCCCACTTTTATAAGCTTTTACTTTTAACGGGACAATAAGACTTGTAGAAAGTGAAGGACACCAAGTGGTGTCAAGGCTCTGGGTAACTATGAACCCCCAGACAAGAGTGCCTGCACACCCACACGTGCAACACCCAACACAATGTAATTGAAGCCATTAATAAGCCTCACACAATGGCACGAGGAAACGCGTGTCTCTTCATGACGTCCCTTCGTGAATTGTTGTGAGTGATGGAGATGGTGGTGGAGGAGGAGGGAGCAGCATCCCGGAGGTGCTGCTGCTGGGACCCCGCCGGCTCCTGACACGACACGCGCCCATAACCATTACTGATAATAATATTCTTCGGGTAATGTGCGCTCAAGCCTCGTTGTATTATGGGGGAAAGTTGAGTTCCATTGTCACTGGAATATGTATTGTAGAAGAGGACAAGGTGAAGGGGGGGGGGGGGGGGGGGGGGGAAGCTAAAGATAACTGTATTTCTAACGAACAGAATGCGGGAGAAAGTGGAGAGAATATTCTAGTCAGTGTTAATGAGTCATAAGCCAACATATAACAATATATGCAGATAGTTCAGCGTTAATAGTTAGGCATTATTCCTACAGTCAAACTGTATATTTGCTCTCTGATGAGCCAGCTTCTAGAATCAATAAATTATAAACACGTAACTATATTAATAATTACTTTCCAAACATTAATTTACGTAAAAACCCTGAAATTAATATGGAAAGTGTAATAAGCTGATTCTTTTATCAGAATGAATCACCTTAAAACTCACTTTTGCATGAGTTTTATAAAATTCTCCGCTTCCCATGGCTGTGATAAGACAAGTAGTCGGTGGTGTGTGTACTCGCTTAGTTGTGCTTGCGGGGGTTGAGCTTTGGCTCTTTGGTCCCGCCTCTCAACCGTCAATCAACTGATGTACAGAACAAATGGGCCGTGACGAGGGTTCGAACCTACGTCCGAGAGGATCCCAGACGCTGCCTTAATCGACTGAGCTACGACATGGTGAAAAAATTGCAACCGGGAAATCATCCTGATTTACCACGGTTCCTGCAGTCTCTCCGAGACACAAACCAGGGTTTTACGCAATTCGCCCATGCACCCGAGCTATGTCAATAAGCTGTTCTACCTCTTCGCCCTTACTTCAATATACACAGAAATCACAAAAGCGTGATGCATCAAATGAACAAATCAAATTTGTTAATTTGATGCATCACGCTATTATGATTTCTGTGTGTAACTGGTGTACAGATTCCTGAGCCTACTGGGCTCTATCATATCTACACTTGAAACTGTGTATGGAGTCACCCTCCACCACATCACTTCCTAATGCATTCCATTTACTAACTACTCTGACACTGAAAAGTTCTTTCTAATGTCTCAGTGGCTCATTTGGGTACTCAATTTCTACCTGTGTCCCCTTGTTCGTGTACCACCCGTTTAAAATAATCCATCTTTGTCTACCGTGTAAACAGGGTATTGTCTACCAAGTGTGTAAGGAGTGACAGGGAGGAGACTGACCTCAGCGTTGAGGTGCTCCACCAGGTGCAGGTGGAGGTGAGACTCCAGCAGGCTCCGGCCCGTCACTAGGTTCTCGTACTTCACCTGCAAACACAAGAAACAAGTCAGGTTAAGCTTTAAGCCATCAGTATCCCTAGTAATTCTCCTACTATATATATATATATATTTATGTGTGTGTGTGCTGAAGAAGCAACCAGTACAACACCCGTAGCTCCTATCAGACAGTTTTACAGGAATTTCTTTTCCACGGCTTACAAAATAGAGGAAAGAGTCCTGAAAGATATTATTAATAGGAACGTTATCCCCACAGACACCAATCAACAGATACAATTAACAATACATTACAATAACAAGAAGACCGCAAACATACTTATGAAAAATTCTCCAGACACCGAACAGAACGTCTTAAGAGAGACCAACGTCGTCTATGCCTTCCCATACCCACTTGGGAACTGTCAGCCCCAAAGATCTCAGTATAGAGGCAAGACTACAACTTCTCTCTCTCTCTCTCTAGGCGATTTACAATGCACAAGCAACAGGGCTCTATCAAGGAACATATCATCTCCACACACAATCAGACCATCACCAGAGACATCTTAACAAGCAACACTGAAATAATCGACAGGTATAGAAAGAAACATCAGAAAACTGACATCAGCCAGGTGCTATTTAACACATAATTACATCCTACCCATTTCAAAGTTTTTAACGCAAAGTGCAAACTCTGCAAAATGCGAACCAATGCAGAGACAGGATCCAATGATGTGAAGAGATTAGGTCATATATTTAAAAATACCCAAGATGAGTATAAGGTAAAGAACAAACCACCAGAAGAGTATAAGGTAAGCATGATGCGTTTGGAGGGGACTCGGTTACAAGTATCTCTGGGAATTCTCATTATCTGCTGATGTAAACCTGACCAAATGTAAACCTGTGTCAACAAAAGTATTCGCACACCCTCCGTCACTATGTGATGGAGTGCGAAAAGAAAGATACGTGAATTCAAAGACAATTATATAACAAATGTTCCAGCAATGTGCAAATATTTCATTCCAAATGATATGCTACTAGAAATTTTGGGTAAAAATTGGTAACTGTAGGCAGTGACTAAGTGATTGTAAGCTATGGGGCCCGTGATAAACTGACAACAAGAGCGTGTTACTGGCAAGATGCCACGAAGCGGCGGCCAATACAGAAAACGGAGTCGCCGACGCTGTTCCCAGATCAACACACCAACCCATGATCTATGAACACATATCATATCTCCCTATTGTATAGTCAAACACCATGTGCAGATCATTTGCTTTCGAGAAGCATCGAACATCTTATCAAACTAATTATTTCGAAACAGACTACTCATTCCACACTGAATGTAGCTATAATCAAGCCTAAATTATGTAGCCCATAATAACTGACATAACTTGTACCTATGCCACGCACGCATTTGTGCTGCATCATACCAAAGACGAAACAATTATACAGCCATACTAATGCAATAAGCGTTTCCCTTTAAACAGTGGCGGGAGCATTGGAGACGCCAGATACGGGTGAGTGAGAGAGTGTTGGCTACAGTGAGGGGCAGGACCCCCTCACCCACAGTAGTGTAGTAGAGGGGCAGCAGTAGTGTGGTGGTAGAGCTGGGTGGTGGTGGTGCCTCACGCCCCGCTCACTCACCACCATTGTGTGTGGTGATATCTACCCAAGCTGACATGCTGGAGGCTGCACCTTCATCAACAACTATCACCGAGCTCCACTGCTGCATCAAGTGCTTCTGTAAGCGTTTACCTCATTTATTATTTATGGATTATTTGGCAACATACACAGTCAACCCGCTTCCTATATATATATGAAGCGGGTTATACCCGCATATATACCAGCTGAACTGGCCGATCAAACGGTTTGGTTATACTTGTGCGTAATACAACGATGATTTGGACAAAGGCCGACTGCCTTAATTTGCACATTCATGTATCATAGCAAACAGCTTAATTATCGAAAATAGATCAATATTAATTTCTAATATGTATGTGTAATTCTAATTAAGGTTTCTTCGCAGTAATTTATACATTATACATTACAGTATAAATTGTATGCATAGCTATTTATATAGTGTTACTAACGTTCCTCAAGAGACTAGCGAAGGATGGGTGGGTGGGTGCGGAGCGTGGCTGGACAAGCGGACATCCTAGCCAGGTGTGTGGCCAGGGGCAGAGGACAGTGGCCGGTGTGGGCACCGTGGCGGCGGGGGCTGGCCACCACCTGCCCCACACACACCGGAGGGGCATGGATAACAGCCACGCCCCGGGTGTGCCTGCACGACGTCCCCACCACGCTACGGGCGGGGGGCCTGCCGCCCAACGCCCCCGTCACACTCTCGGCCCTCATCGTTGACGAGAACGGCAAGCAAGTGAGTTACCAGCTTATGGCCATATTCCTTCCCACTCTCACACCCGCCTCACTCACTCACTCACTCACTCACTCACTCACTCACTCACTCACTCACTCACTCACTCACTCACTCACTCACTCACGCACGCACGCACTCACGCACGCACTCACTCACAGCACTCTTAAACACTGTCCTTATATCATATAAGATCCATAGGGTCCACTCAAGCCACTCTCCACTTCATATTGCCTATTAATACAGTACATTCATATCTGGGTTCTACTGTAAATAAGTAAAAATGATGTAAGACGGTATCGGTTGGTCACGTTTCCCTTCACCTGATGCCACTGTTCACCTAGCATAGTGCTAGGCGGTATACCCTGGGAATTAAGCAACTGCTGTGAGTTGCATCCCGGGAAAGGTGGGGTAGTTGGGGGGGGACCTGTATAAGCCCAATACAATACAATACAATACAATTTTATTTAGGTAAGGTACATACATACAATAAATATTTACAAGGATTGTTTCTTATAGGTATAGCTAGTACATACAATGCCTAAAGCCACTATTACGCAAAGCGTTTCGGGCATAACTTAACATAACAATAGACATAACTTAACATAACAATAGACTTCGACGAAGATGACAAAGCATATAGGGGTAAAATATAGGGATATGAGGATCAGACACTAAAGGATGTGAGGACTAGGAGTTGGGATATGAGGATAAGCGCTTGGATATGAGGACCTGGAGATAGGATATGAGGACCTGGAGATAGCATATGAGGTCCAGGAGCTGGGATATGAGGACAGGGGCTGGGGTATGAGGACAAGGCACTAGGATATGAGGACCAGAAGCTGAGGTATGAGTACCAGGAGCTGGGATATGAGGACCAGGAGCTGGGATGTGAGGACCAGGAGCTGGGGGTATGAAAACCAGGAGCTGGGGTATGAGGACCAGAAGCTGGGGTATGAGGACCAGGATCTGGGGTATGAGGACCAGGATCTGGGGCATGAGGACCAGGACTTGAGGAATGAGCGCTTGCTCTACCGACCATTGCAAGTGGATGGACTGAAAAGAGCAGAATGGACTAATAGAATACATGCCTAATGCTAGGGAAGTCGACAACCAGGTATGTGTTAAAATACATCCATGTAGCCACACATATCCAGCAAGTATGCATGACTTAACTTTTCCACCGTCATCCACTGGATAGTGGGGGGCAGGGGGATGGACGGAGGAGGGGGGGCGCGATATATGGTGCGCAAATAACAAATTCTGAAGGTAGCTCACCGTATATGTAAGTTGACTTAGAGACTGTCCTATCGCTCGTTCTCGAGCCCAGTGTTGATGTACATGTGTAGCGAGCTTATCATGACTGCACGTAACATGCTTGGCTAAATGGATGTCGTAGTTCATTTGCTGAGCCCATTATGTGCTTGTGTATCCCCCTTTTTTCATTACCGCCCACATCATGGGTATGGGGTGCATAATAAATGAACTAAACTAACTGCAATCAACACAGTTCTGGAAATATTTTGAAGTGAAAGTAAAAACTCCCTTTTGTTTCTGATAATTACTTATATCCTATTTAGTTATAGATAACTGAAGTGCATGTTACAGGTTGAACAAGACATTGAGTGAAGTTCTTTATGTTACCGAGTCTGGGCAAACATTAGTCACACGTAAGTCTAATTAACCACCAGCGTTACAAGACCTTAACCCAAACACACTTGAGCCGGCAATTACACAAAACTAGCGACACAACGTCTTGAATCAGGTAACACATTCATACAAGAAAAAACAAGTCATAAAAACTCTTACATCAAGCAAACCTCAGCTGTATAACTCGTAGCATTAACCAAATATCAAACAAGTTCTTCGTGTTTGTAAATACTGTAACTTACCAGCTCGACGCGGGCCAATATCAGCCGTGCAGGACCTCTCAGCAGGGAAAAAATCAGCCATACAGGTATTTATGTCCAAGAAGATGCTTTTAGTGTCATTTGTGTTTCTGTGGCAATTGGTATTAACACGTTAAAACGCTTCATTTGTCTTCAAGGCACAATACTTTTGAAATACGCAAGTTCAGTGTGTGGGGGAACTTACAGCTGCCATATTGTGTATTAGGGGACCAGCAGAGACCACCTCGCACGACCAGCCATGAACCATATATCGTCCCACTCTCACATTTATTTATTTTGTATTTATATATACAAGAGTTCTTACATTCTTGTACAGCCACTAGCACGCATAGCGCTTCGGGCGGGTACTTAATCCTAATTTTCCCTGGAAAACGACCCGCCAAATCGTTTAACAACCAGGTACCCATTCACTGAAGGTGAAGAGAGGAGCCCTGGCGCCTAGTTAATCCTCCACAGCCAGGATACGAACCCAGGCCAAAGCGCTCGCGAAATGCTTTACCACTGCACAAGCAACAAGGCTCCATCAAGAAGCATATAATCTCACACAACCATCACCAGAGAAATCTTAACAAGCAACACTGAAATTATCGACAGATACAACGATAACAGGAGACTCAACATCAGCGAGGCACTACACATCAAAAAGTCAACACCAGCAATCAACGGCCAATTAACACATAATTATATTCTACCCACTTCAAGACCCCGAACCAGCACAGAAGGAAGAAGATGGAACACGCAGCGGTGTACCCATTGATTCATTTGTTCATCTCAATCATGTCCTGTATCACCTCACCCCAAGCGAATATAAGCATTGGCAGAGTATGTAGAATTGTTTTAGAAAATGTAAGAAGTGTCTTGTGAAATACTTCTAGGCGTCAGACCATAAATAAAGTGTGAAAATGAACTTTGGAGAGTTAATTTTTCAACTACCCTCGACAGTGAAGAAAAACATAAGAAATATTGAGAAGATTTGTGTTAGAATCATAAATCTTACCCTTTCGGTCATATTCAACAACATATGTTTTCAAGAAAGATATATATATATATATATATATATATATATATATATATATATATATATATATATATATATATATATATATATATAAATAATATATTGGTGTATACTGGCAGCAGGTTTTCTTTTATACATGTCTCAGGTTTGCAGTTATTCTTTAGTGTCTTGAACATTCATTTAACATAAAATTTGTAGTTTATATCCCCCAAAAGTATAGGTTAAAAGAGTAAAGACTCTGGAGTAGGACAGACAGTTTACCTCCTGGCGCCTGGTGAGAGGGCAAATCCCTGTTTATGTTGAGCTAAACTAATCAAAACTGTAAATACCCTGTTGAAATACATATTGATTCATTTTACCCGAAGAGCGAGTTTACTGAGCAGTGTTACTCATCCTGTGGGTGAACACACTATAGCAACATGTACTACACTCCTCCTTTGGAAGAACACTCGTAAGTTAACAAATTCTGCGACTAGTTTATCACTGCTGACACTTGCTTAGCTACACTAATGAGTATAGGGCGCATGATAAATTAACTAAACTAAGGACGTCAATGTGACAAATTCACTGGAAACTTTAAAAAGATATAAATAATCGTTACGAGGATGTACATATAAATGTTCACCATTTTTCTGTAATGAGAAAATAGTCAGGCATAACCCTGGAAACACAAACCGTAACTGTCTCTATTTTTCGCTTGTTATAACTTGTAATAAAGTTGTTCCATCTTGGCTTAACGTGTTTATGACGTATTAGAACGTTGTTACAACTTGCTATATTGGTTGTTATAACTGGTTAGGAGGTGTTAAAACTTGTTCCAACGTTGTACCAACATCGTAGTTTCGGTGTGTATTTGGCGGGAAGTTGATGGGTGCCAACACGCACCACAGTTTACAGGTAAACTTGCTTTACAGTTTGTCTCTAACGCTCACTACGTGAGTGACGCCCTGGGAGTAGTGGACACGGGCGTGGCGGAGGCCGTGAGCGGGTCATACACGGGGGTGTTCCCTGCAGGGCTGCTCACCTCCCTGGCCCCAGCACCACACGAGTTCCCCTTACTCAGGCTCTACCGCAGGATCCCACATCATCCCTGGAAGGTCAGCACGTCTCTCGCTCCCCGGGACTCCTTTTCTACACTCAACACTTGCTGCTGCTGCTTTTCGTGGCATATCCATAACAATTATAGGAATCAAGTTGAAATTAGATACTCTATTGTGCAAAAATAGTATACACAAGTAAAATGTAAATATAACAATTTAAAAAGTATATTTAAATAAAAATAAGTATTTTAAATTAAATACGGTAATTAAACTTAGGTAATGACGGGTAGAAGAGGGGTGCCATGCGTGTGTGAGGGGTAATATATATGTTTGGTGTTGTAGGTGACTGTTGGCGTGAGTGAGGGCCACCAGCCGCTAGAGAGAGGAGAGGAGGCGGTGGTGGCGAAGGTGGAGCTGGAGCGGCACCTGATGGCCCCCGGGGTGAGGCGGGTGCCGGTCAGGGAAGGTAACATTAGGGCCACTATGTACCTGCCCGCGGGCCAGGGACCCTTCCCGGCCGTTATTGATATGTTCGGAGCAATTGGCGGTCTAATGGAGTTCAGATCAGGTATTTGACTTTGCTAGAAGCCTTCCTTTGTATTTGGTGAATATTGCGGATATTTGTTCAGTTAATGTACTGCTTAATATAGTGTACAGCAGATAAATGCAGGTAAACCTCAACGTGACGTATGTCATTTTCAGCTCTGTTGGCCTCCAGAGGAATAGCAAGTTTGGCGCTGGCTTACTTTGCCTACGAGGATTTGCCTAAAACGACAGACAGGTTTGATCTGGAATATTTTGAGGAAGCAGTGAAAGTGTTATTGTCCCAGCCTGGTGTAGTGAGCGACCGTTGTGGTGTTGTGGCAACAAGTAAAGGCGCCGACATCGCCTTCTGTATGGCCACTTGGTTTCCGCAAGTGAAGGCCATGACCTGCATCAGCGGCTCCCCTGTAGCACTAGACTCCACCATATCATACAGGGGCAGCACGCTTGTCGAAGGAGTTAAAATTAACTTTAACGACATGAGCAATAAGA